GCTCAGGTTTGGTCCCGGGGTCCCAGGATCGAGCCCCGCATTGGACTCCCTGCTCGGCGGGAAGCCTGCTTCTCCCTCTCCCACTCCCCCTGCTTGTGTTCCCTCTCTCGCTGTGTCTCTCTCTGTCAAATAAAAAAAAAAACAAAAAAAATTTAAAAAAAAAGAGTTAGTGAAATGAGTACAACAAAAGGCCAAAGTGATGAAAAAGGCAGCATGGAAGTAGTTGATACTATGTGGAAAGAATTTATTTGGTAACGAATTGAAGAAAGTAGACTGAAAGATTGGGCCTATACAGACAGAGTTATGAACAGATTCAAAACTTAAAAAAAAGAAAAAGAGGTTATAAATAAGCGTATGTCCAGGAAATCCTACTCATGTTAAGATTTTCCTCAAAAATAAAAATCTGATGAAAGCCTTTCATTGAATTCTGCTTCTTAGGCAACAAAATGATACCAAATTAACAAAGGAAAGATTAAGTAGGTAAGGGTTACTTTGGGGATGCTAACGGCAGCACTGTTAGGAAATCTGGAACTACCCCAGAAAATATTTTGCAGAAAGAAATACAGCCAAATAAAAAAAGTGTAAGATCTGAAATCAGAGAACTAGGGTTTGAGTCCCAATTTAGGCAAATAATTTCATGGTATGTAGGCCTCAGTTCCTCATCTGGATTATGGGAATAATAATCATTGTAAATAATATAGGAATAATAATAGCAGCAACTAACATTTGTTGAATGCTTATTAGGTTTCAGGCACAGTTTAAGTGTTTTACATGTATTAACTTATTTAATCTTCATGATGACCCACAGACACTTTTATCCCCATTTTACTGAAGAGAAAACCAAGACAGGGAGATTAGATCAACTGCCAGAATTATATAGCTATTATGTGGTATAGCTGAATTCCAGCCCATGCAATGTGACCTGGTATCTATATCCTTTACAATGTTCTTCTGCCTCTCTAGGTAATAAAGATGAGAATGTAGTAAAAAATGCTTTAAGTGTATCCAAATGTTCATCATTACTGCTGAATATCAAGTAACAGGACAAAATCTAAACGAAATCATTAATCTGCAATCAACACTCCACAAATTCTACATATTATATGCTAGGGTGAGATTAAAAAGGGGGTAATTAACAATGTATACGCTTGTCCTCCAAAAGTAGGGGGAACAAACGAGACAATAACTGATATGAACAAAATATACATGCTGCTTTTCCATGATGAGCTGAGGTAAGTAGTACAATCAGTGATAAAAAATAAAGAGCTTTGGGGCACCGGGGTGGCACAGTGGGTTAAGCTTTGGACTCTTGGTTTTGGCTCAGATCCCTGATCTCAGGGTCATGAGATGGCGGCCAGCACAGGACTCCAGCTCAGCCCAGTGTCTGCTTAAGAGTCCCTCTCCCCCAACCCCTCCCCACAAAAATAAATAAATAATCTTTTTTAAAATTTAAAAAATAAAAGAGTTTGAGAAATCACAAAATCATGCCCTCAAAAAATAACAGCACTAAATGCAAAGGGTTAGGAAATGACAGAGCCAGAAAAGAAATCAGTAGAATTCTTTTTAAAGTAAAGGTCTCAGGGGCGCCTGGGTGGCTCAGTCGTTAAGTGTCTGCCTTCGGCTCAGGTCATGATCCCAGGATCCTGGATCGAGCCCCGCATCAGGCTCCCTGTTCAGCGGGAGGCGTGCTTCTCCCTCTCCCACTCCCCCTGCTTGTGTTCCCTCTCTCGCTGTGTCTCTCTGTCAAATAAATAAATAAATAAAATCTTTAAAAATAAAATAAATAAATAAAGGTTTCAGAACAATCATAAAGCTTTAAAAGAAAAAAATAAGGTTTCAAACAGCAACAGGCTATTCACAGAGCAACAAATTTCATATATGCATATCATAAAAAGACCACTTCCAAGAAAGGGTCCTACACCACATTATAAATATTGTAATAATAAAAAATAATTGATGCTGGACACTTATGTAGAAAGCACTGTTCTAAGCACTTTACTGGAACTGATTTTTTAATTCTTATAACAACCCTATAAGGTAGGTTCTGCTATTATCCCCAGTTTATAGATAGGGAAAATGAGGCAGAAGTGAGGTGAAGTAACTTGCCCAAGTTTATTCAATGAGGGCCAGTGCTAGGATGTCAACCCCAAGCAGTTTATCTTGAGAGTATGTGCTATACTTCCTCTAGTAGGAAACTAAGAAGCAGAACAAAAATTTATTCAGAAGTATTATTCGGCCAGAGTACCTGGGTGGCTCAGTCGGTTGAGCGTCTGCCTTCAGCTCAGGTCATGATCTCAGGGTCCTGGGATCAAGCCCCACGTTGGGCTCCCTGCCCAGTGGGAAGTCTGCTTCTCCCTCTTCCTCTGGCCCTCCCTCCACCTTACCACCCTCACTCCCTCCCCTGCTTGTGCTCTCTCTCTCTCCCCCCCCAAATAAATAAATAAAATATTTAAAAAAGTATTATTTGGCCATACTTGGTAACAAGAATGAAAGTACCTTTCAATCACAATAATTCATCATCTATAACAGTTCTGTCCTTGGTCTTCCCTCCAAATTAATCCGCACATTCCTCCCGTACTATCTCATCTTCTCCTGTGGTTTCAATTACAATCTCCTTGCTGATGATTCCCGTATCTATTGACCTCCAGCCCAATCTCTCTTCTGCATCTTAAACCTCACCAACAACCTAATAAATATTTCTCTTTCAATGCTCAACAAGCATCTCAAACTCAGCATGTCCAAAACTGAATCATCATCTCCTTCCCACCTCAATTCCCACCCTCAAATCCCTTCTTCCTCCTGTACGCCCTTACCTCAATGACTGCCTCCATCATCCACCTGATTGCCCAAGTCAGAAACTTGGAAGTCATCCCAGACTCCTCAGTCTTCCTCACCTTCCATACCCAATCAATCACCAGTCACCTCCTCTAAGTATTTCTCCAATCAATGAATCTCTCATTTCCACTGCTTTACTTAATCTGACAACTTTACAAGGCTTATTATTTTGAATTTTGTGTTATTTTGTGAAACTTTTTTTTCTTGTATTTTGTTCTGTCTAATCCTAGCACAAACTCCATGAATGAAGAACAGGTATCATATATATTTCATATCTAACTCCCTAATGTGCAATTTCCTGATCAACACGTGTTCTCAGTGAAACTTGGTTCTATTAAAAAGAAATTAATACTAAGCATGTATGTCAAGTAATACATTTTTTCAATGGCATTGCCTTCAGAAACAAGACCCAGTTATTTTGCAAAAAAAGTAAAAAAGAAAAAGTAATAATTTCCTATTAGCTCTACCACAACTCCTTAGGATATACCAATTATTAATTGTTCAATGATAGCTACTAAAGGCCATGCACTATGCTAAACACTTCACACAAATTGTGCCACTTAATGTTCACAATGTTATCAACGGGGTACTGGTACTATACCCATTTTCCAGATGCCAAAACTGTAACTTAAGAGAGCTTACACAATTTGATCAAGGTGCCAAGTTAGAAAAATAACAGTCAGGATTTGAATCCATGGCATCATCTGACACCAGAGCACATGTTCTTAAGCACTTGCTGTTTGCCTTTTTTTAAAAAAAAAAAATATTTTATTTTTAAATAATCTCTACACCCGACACCGAGCAAACCCACAACCCCGAAATCAAGAGTCCCATCCTCCACCGACCAAGCCAGCCAGGCACCCCTTGCTATTTTGCCTCTTAAGGATAAAATTAAATGTTTTAAAGCTCAAAAGAAAAGAATAATTAAGCACAAAGCTTAAATCAAAAAGATGTTAGTTTTAAATGAAAAACGTGCCAAAACAGTGTAACGCTATGGAAGTTCAGGCAATTAAGAAAACCTGTTTGGTCGGTCCAAAAATCGTTAAGAAAGATCAGCAAACGAAAAAGATCCAGAACCACAGAAATAAAATTTTCAAAAAAGTAATGCATTCGAATGCTTCTTTTCTTGGGACATCATAATAAAACCAACACAGTCTAGTGTCTTACACATTAGTATATTTCCCAATGAAATTCTACAAATGTTAGAATCCCCCGCCGTAATTCAATTTTTGGTTCTGGCAACCTACCCACCGCAGGCAGGTAAAAGGTTCGGAAATCTCAACCGTGATTGCTTGCTTACTTCCAGACTCCTAAAATATGAGTCAAAGGGCCAGTGTAAAAAGAACACTGCCTATCATCCATCTTCGTCTGGTGCCATTAGAAACACAGGCGCACATTTAAATTCGCATGCTACTAAGATCAAGCACCAGCCTACAATTCGTCCAAGGTTCGGCAGCTGCACACCCAAGGTGCAGACCACAAGCTCTCAACTTTTCATTTTGACTATACGTTTTAGATTCTGGGTGCGAGAGCACACTTTGAATTGGCCCCTGGATGCAAAGAGGATTCCTGTCAGATTTCTCGGGAAGGGTGGGAGGCGTGAAGAAGGGACGGCCTCCCACCGGCCAGGAGCCCGCCGCGCGCCGAACCTTTTGTTGGGGAGGAGAAGAGGGCGGACCCCGCACCCTCCTGGGGGCAAACGGGGGTGGGCGGGGAGAGTGAGGGAGCGAGACGCCGCGGCGGCCCCCGGCCAGCCCGGGGGTGGGGACACAAAGAATTTGGGGAGAGCCGATCGGCCGGACGACGAGCTCCCCCACCCGCCCTGCAATAAGCCGCCGCGAAACTCCAGGCCCGGGCCGCCGAGAAGCGGGCGGAGGCGGGCGCTCGGGCGTGCGGGGCTCCCTGCGCCCCCCCACCCCCACCCGGGGC